AGGTAGGTAAATTCATCCGGAAACACTGTCCTATCGTGGAATCGTGGGACACACTAAACCTAATCCTCCTGAACAAACCAGTAGTAGTCTACCGGAGACTAAATAAACCTTAAAAGATATCATAATAAGAACAAAGCTAACGCCAAATGCTAACCAAGACGACCCTAGTAAATCTGACCCCCGTGGCGATAATTGGCGCAAAACCTGCCAACATATGATAAAAATCTGCATATTTTCTAGCACAACGACTAGCGAAACAACGAACATACATGGCCCAAACAGAACGTGCAAAACAGAGAATGCAATTTATCTCATCACATGTAAGATCTGTAGCCTTTAGTATGTCTGTAGAAACTGAAAAATTAAAAAAGATTAATATTCACATATCTAATTGGATGACAAAGAAGCTGTATTGAAGTCCATTTATAGAACATCTTCTTTTCCAGTGGCTACACATTTAGTGATCTAACACTTATTGCAATTGCTCACAACCCCAACTGGAGCTCCAAAACCAGGAAAGATCACGAATCTCACTGGATTCGCCGCCTTTGAACATTGAAACCAAGCGGTTTTAAACCAAGAAGACTATAAAAAGAGACCAAGACCAAATAAAATCATCATCTTTTTGCAGCCCGAACATTTTCTTTTAAATAATTCTTTAATTTTGTTTACTAGTCATCCAATAGTCCACAGTTACTACTAACACAATAAAATGTCTGGGATATAATTTGCGATTACGCATATTTACATTTTTAAAAAAGATGACGATATGGCGCATCCATTTCTATGTCATTATAAAATAAGTTTCAGCATCAGCATCAAGTTGAAACCTGAAACATCAAAACTTTAAAGCTTTTACTCCTTTAGAAATAGTCATGAAAATGTCTGTAACCTCAACGCTTTTTGTGATTTTTTTGCTTGTTTGTCTTGTCTGTGTTTTGTATTTGCCTTTGAATAAAGACTTTTAAAGTAGAAAAGCTCAGGCTAGTTAGAAAGTAATTTTGCACTGTTCGTTGTCAATTTATTGCATTTGTCCTAATCAATCCTGGCACACGCGATCCCTTGCTGGATCCAGTTCACTCGAACGGACACATCAAACTACAACTACGATAATGGAATATATATTCGCTTAAATTGCGTCAATAGATGTAGGAATTGAATTCCCTCTGGTCAGTGCAATGAGACTATAAAGCGTCTATTGTTGTAAGTACATGCATGTAAGATATTACCTCAGGTATATACATGACTGGAAAATAGCTGACGTGTGGCCTGAGGTAGGTAGATAACCTGACCTAATACTTTACCTGGTAGGAATGACATTCGTGAACGGAACTATAATATTGAATAGGGACTGACCATGCATTTATCGGTTTGTGACTTTTAAATGGGACATCCATTGAAGATTGTCCAGGAATGACAATTCATGAGTATGTATATGCCTTTTAAGAAAGGGAAATCCACTGAAAATTTTCTGGGATCACACACACACTAAATATATATATATATATATATATATATATATATATATATATATATATATATATATATATATATATATATATATATATATATATATATATATATACACACACACACACACAGATAAGTGATAACGAATTACATTAAGTGGGTGCATGAAAAAGGTCGAGCGTCCTACCCTTTTTGGTTTGGTCTTGTTCTGGAAGAGGCTGTATGCTGCCAATATTTAATGAATAGTGCTTTCTTTTGGCATGAAAGTCCATTTTGGATCAATAAGCAGTATATGGCCCTGGAATGAACCGATTGGATACCTTACCAACTCATTTATAACACCTACCATAGATCACAATAATTTAAAAGGTCATATAGACCTACGAATTTGACGGACATATTCGGACAATCAAGTACGCTTAGTACCCAAAATATGTCAACTTTAAATAACGCATAAGCAATAAACAACTAAATATATTGGTACGTATGTGGCTAACTCATGTTTGGCAATGATAGGGACCCCATCAACTTAGGCAACAAGACTTTATGACCCACATTAAAGATAATTACTTGCACTGGTATATATCTTGTAACAGCCTTTGCCCAGGAAGCAGCCATCAGCAAGGACCAAGAATCAATGGAAACAACAACTGGAATTTCGCAGCTGCTCTTCAATTCCTCCTCCTCCTCCGCGACCAATTATAGGGTAACAGACCTATCACACATGAAAAGAATTTTCAAAATGCCAAATAATGAAAAAAAAAAATTCAAAATGCTTAACATGAAAAGATTACTAACTTCAAATAGCCTACAATCAATCCAAAGGTACAAAGATAAAACCCCTTCCCCATGCCCACCAACCTGAACCTAATACAAATCAAGGGATTAGCTGGCAGCTCTGCCAGTGGGTCCCATAAGTCCACTCCGGAAAACGAACCTCATTGGATGAATGGGGTGCCCCACCCAAACAAATTAAGGGATTAGCTGGCGGCACTGCCAGTGGGTCTCATAAGCCCATCCGGACAACGAA